GGAATATAATCCCCAAACCCACATTCCCTTTCATCTTGGCCACATCCTTCTTCAATGCCTCTGTTTTCTTTTAGAGGGTCAGGCAGTGAGGAGATAACCTTGCAGTACGTGGGAGGTGGAGGCTGCCCAAAGTCTCTACCACATCTGCAACCTCTGCCCAAAGTGCTAAAAGTTTCCACAGTGAGATACCACTGTGGGAGAGAATTTCTTTCAGAAATGGTAGATAATGGAGACTCTATAGAACATACATTCTTGATTTTTTTTTCTGTGAGTAGATTATCCGCTACTCATCTACTCACTCATCTCTTTTATTCTCTAGTTGGGAAGGAGCTGGTTAGGCAGTTCACAAGAATTAACTGCGTTGCTATTATGGGTGCAGTACTATGTTAGCCAGAAACATCGAGGGGGGAGGAGAAAGGGGGGAGGAAAAGAGAGGGAGTGAGAGAGGAGGGAGAAAGAAATAAAAAGTGGGTCTTGGACTGCTCAAAATTCTTTTATATATTCCTGAATATCTATGCTCCTGACTGTCAGCCAGCATGGATAATTGGAAATTTTGTCTCCAGGTATTTTTGGTTTACAGTATAATGTATTTGCTCTTTAATGTACAGTTTGTGTGAAGGCCTAATTCCTAGCTGTCTCCTTATGTCATAATGAGCTAACTGGCTAACAGAGTTCTAATGTACACTTAGCTCAAACGGCATGTTAACTTTTCATTTCCATTTCAGATTTTATTTTTCCAGAGAGGAAAGTGCTAGTGGAGAATGTAGGCCCTGATTTGAAAGAGTAAAAGAAAAAGGCATGGTCAGTTTTGTCACATGTGTAACTCTAGAGATTATTATTAAATTACAGCTGTAGCTGGTATCCTGAAATAAGAACTCCATGCCATAGTGATATGTTCCTGCTACAAAGAATTTCCTTGTTTGGGGTGGGGGGTGGGCAGTGTAGAAGTCATGTACTTCTTATTCCTGTACAAGAGAAATTTGCTAATTTGTGGCCTAATTATCAGAGGTCTCCCCTATAAGCAGCTCCTTAAGACTTTCTCAAACTTCTCTCCGCACTATCTTCAGCACCGTCCACACACCTCGACCAGCCTCACTACCCATTGCTATAAAGTTGATTCTGACTCACAATATTGCTATAGGACAGACTAGAACTCTTTCATAGTTTCCAAGCCTTTAATCCCTATGAATCCAACTCACAGCAACCCTACAGTACAGAGTAGCAATTGTCCCATCGGTTTCCAAGTCTGAATCTTGACTGAAGTGGACTGCCATATAGTTCTCCTGCTGAGATGCTGTTATATTAATATTACTGACCTTTGGGTTAACAGCCAAATTAGTGGTTAAATAACTGGACCACTAGGGCTTTTCACTAGCCCCATTAGTGGGTTCTATTGCATCCAGTCTTCTTCTGAAGGTCTTCTAGTATTCAAGGACTAAGTCAAAGGTCATCCCTTCCAACCACTTTCCAGATTCCTCATCCCCTCCAACTAGAATTTGTCTTTTCACTACTTCCTTTGCTCTTCCCCTTTCCAATAGTGTGAATGAGAGTAACACTTTTGCCTAGTTACATGATAATGGGGTGGAACCTGGTTCCTTCTGATGCCCTACAATAGCCACTGGGAGCCCTGCACAGTCAGTGCTAAGGAAGGCTTAACTGAACCAGTAACTGACTCTCCATTCTCCACAGTCTGAGATTATATATTTGTTCTACTTGTCAAGGATGAGCTAAGGAATATAAATTAGTTTTCAGTGGTGATAAAATATCCAAATTATGTAGTGTTCCATGTATAATTCTGGACAAATATATTAAGTGTCTACTTAATATTTATTCAGGGGGCGGGGGAGACCTGGTGGTGTAGTTTATTGCAAGTTTCACCACTAGCCCAAAGGTCAGGTCTCCAGTAGTTCAAAACCACCAGTGGCTGCAAGGGAGAAACATGGGCAGTCTCAACAGAGGGTTGGTATGAGTTAGATCCGACTTGATGACAGTGATAATGCATATGTCTGAGGAGCCCTGATGGCACAGTGGTTAAAACTTGGCGACTAACCATAAAGGTCAGTAGTTCAAACCAGGACTCTGAACTGGCTCATTCTGACTCAACCCCCTGCTGAGAACTTCCCTTTCTGATTCAATATATCTAGAATGGAGATATAAATTGTCAGCAGGGAATTGGATTGAAATGAATCAGTTCAAAGTCCTGGTTGGAACTCACCAGTCACTCCACAAAAGAAAGAGAGAGCAGTTTGTTTCCACAAAGACTTGCAGCCTTAAGAATCCTATGGAGCCAGTCTACTCTGTGCTGTAAGGTAACTGAATCAGAATCTACTCAACAGCAAAAAAGGGTTTATGTATGTATTCTGAGTCCTGTTCTGTTTTACACTGGGCCACCTGGAGTTGGATTCAAACTCTGTGACATCTAACCACAAGTACATATATAGGCCACCAGAGTTCCATATATAAATACGTAACAAGTGACATATTTCAACAAGCAGACACTGCCCTGCATGTGCTCACCAAGTTTTGCTAAGAAATCTGGAGGACAACCACCTGGCAAACTGACTAGAAGAAATCTATTATTTGTTCCCATTCCAAAGAAAGGTGAATTGACAGAGGAAATTATCGAGCAATATCATTGCTATCACATGCAAGCAAGATTCTGCTGAAGATTATCCAAAAATAACTGGAACAGCACACCAACAGAGAACTACCTGAAGTGTAGGCTGGGTTTAAAAGAGGCCGAGGTACTAGGAATATTACAGCTAATATTAGATGGATCTTGCCTGAAAGCGGAGAGCACCAAAAGAATATCTATCTGTCTTTCATTGACTATATGAACACATTTGACTGTGTGGATCACAACAAACTGTGGTTAACTCTGAGAAGAATGGGAATCCAAGAACACTTGATTGTGCTAATGTGAAACCTATACTTGAAACAGGAGGTAGTCATCAGAACAGAGCAAGGAAACACTGCATGGTTCAAAATTGGGAAGGGTGTAAAGCAGGGATGTGTCCTATCTCCATATCTTTTCAACCTGTATGCAGAACAGATTATCCAGGAGGCTGGGCTCTATGAGGAGAAGTGTGGCATCAGGATTAGAGGAAGATTCATAAACAATCTGTGTTATGCAATGACACAACCCTGCTTGCTAAAACTGAGGAGGACCTGAAGTACTTGCTGCAGAAGGTCAAAGCCTTCAATATGCATTGAAGCTCAACATCAAGAAAACAAAGATTCTCATCACTTAGCCAATTGGCAGCATCATGATAGATGGTGAAGAGATTGCTATTGTTAACAGTTTGCTTGGTTCCACAATCAACACTCTTGGTAGCAGCAGCCAGGAAATTAAAAGATGAATTGCACTGGCAAAGTCTGTTGTCAAGGACCTCTCCAAAGTACTGAAGAGCAATGATGTCAGTCTGGAGACTAAGTTGTGCCTGATCCAGGCCATAGTCTTTGCAATTACTGGCTATGTATCAGAAAGCCGGACAATGACTAAGGATGACAGAAGGAGAATTGATGCCTTTGAGCTGTGGTGCTGGAGAAGAGTATTGAATATACCATGGACTGCTAAAAGAACACCCTCCTAGAGAGGGTGAGACCAGGCTGCTCCTTGGAGGCAAGGATTCTGAAGTTTCATCTGACATACTTTGGACATGTTGCAAGGAGGGACCAGTCCTTGGAGAGGGACGTCATGCCTGAGAGGGTGGAGGGATAGTGCAAGAGAGGAAGACCCTCTATGAGGTAGATTGGATTCAGTGACTGGGGAAATGGTGTGTCAGAGACAGTAATATTGGCACAGGATAGAGCAGGGCTTAGGGCTGTTGTACATAGTCTCTATGAGCCACAGGCGACTCGACGGCACATGACAAGAAGCAACAATGTGCTGTAATCCCAAAGACATGTGGTTGGAATTCACCAGCTGCTCCGCTGTAGAAGGTTGTACAATTTCCTCTCGTGCAATTAACTGCCTCTGAAAATCTCCTAGAGGGTCAGCTATGGGTTGGTTCCAACTATATGGTACACAACAACTGTTCTATGATGCTGAACAGGTTTTCAGCTGAACTTCTAAATAGAGCAGGACTTTTGTCAATGTAGAGAATCAGCTAAAATAGCAGCTACATTCTAACTCCATGTCTACCACAGGCTGATCTGCTAGGCTAGATAGATACGACTGTCCTTTAAAAATATTGCTTTTGTTCATCTATAAGTGGAATCAGGAATCTGCTCAATAAAAATCTTATAGATGACAATAGTACCATCCTGCTCGTGGGGGTCATTATAAGTCAAGGACTAACTTGACAACAGCTAACAACAACAACAAAATGGATTAAAAAGAACAAATACCAATTATCAAATGCCTTGGAGGGATAGTGTGTGACATGGCAGGGTGCCAATTGAAAGGTCAGTGGTTCAAACCCACCAACTGCTGTCTGGGAGAAAGATAGGCAGCTTTTTCCCATATTTACTGCTTCAGGAACTCAATGGAGGGTCACTGTGAGTCTGAAACAACTTGACACCAGAGGTGTTTTTCTGTGTTGTTATTGGTTCTAAATACCAGTCAGCAAGCCAAACAAGATGGTTAAGGATAACCTCTGAGGATAACTCTCTGGTTCTTCTCTTTGAGATGGGCATCAAAGAAAGGCCTTTTTAAAAGAATAATTTGGCCACTTGCTAATATATTATCAGCCATGCCTTTGGCCTTCCTTTTTGACCCTTCTCATATTGGGATCCATTCACACAATTGTGCCCAATTACTCTGAAGTACTGACTTGCTCACTGAGACAGCGGTAGCGATGCTTTCAGTGATAATCAAATTTGATTTGCTCCTCTCAGCCACCCTGAGAGACAGGTGAGGGCATAAATTCTAACGAAAATTAACCGGCTGGCAACAGGATAATTAGTCACAATGTTTGAACTGGCTTATTACTGCCTGCTCACATATTCACAATGGAAGCAATTTTCTTAAGTGCACATTCAAGGCGGACGAGGGTCACCTGGTATGGATGTAGCTGTTGAGCGTTAGCTGAGCCTCGTCTTGAAGAGCTGCAATGGCGGCAGCATTCCGAAAACTTCTCAGTTCAGAACCACTGTGTGTAGGAACTAGAAAGGAAGACCAGGAAGCTGTGATACGCAGCACAGGACATGCAGGTGGAGCAAGCACCTCTCCGCAATTGGCCAGATTCCCACAGATATTGAAAATGGAGCCCAACCAACAATGTCAGTTCCCTTGAAAACCATTAACTCCTTCAGCAAGAAGCAGGGTGGCCTTTGAGGCGGTTCAATCAGTGAACAGGATGAACTAAGGGAAGGAGCCCAGGGTCTGTGTTGGCTTACCAGCTTTGAAAGTGACAATGCATTTTAGACAGGCAAATTCTGTAGCATCTAGGCGGAGTTGTCTAAATCGAGCCACCACCTCTTGTAAAGCCTGTATTTCAGATATTATCTTGTTCAGTTTCTGGGAATCTGTGTTGTCACCATTCATGCCTAGAATAAAAATTTGGAATAAAAGCTCTAATATGAAGGCATTTTCATGATTTAATATTGATTTTTGACAAAATCCTGCATATCAATATCTATTCAATTGTCACTCTGAGATATCTGATTCCATGTAAACTGGCTATATTGTATGAAAGTTAATATAAAATCTTCTCTTGGATGATAACAAACACAGTAATTTGCATTTAAATAACAATGCAAGCAGTCATGAATGCAACAAAACAACATTATTTGCATTTAAATATAGATTTATAAATGACAGGTATACTCTATTGTTCAGCAGGAATTTGTTATTCTTTACATGTTGTTCTTTTTTCAGTAATGTATTTTTATGGTAATTTCTACAACAAAGTCATTAAATTGTGCAATTCTTACCAGATACAGCCAGTAGAGTGTTAGCATCAACCGGAATGGCCCATTGTGCTATTCCTAGAACAAACAGTTCTCTCCAAGCATCTTCCAAAAGCATCAGCTGTCATACAATAGATGTATAATATAATATAGCGTGTAATTTATAAATTTATAAACAATTTCAATATGTAAATTTCTATTATTTTAAAAAGTGTTTAAATGCCTGTCTTAGTGAGGGAAGGAAAGAGTCTGAATATTCTAGCTTTCCCTTTTTCTTTTTGAAAAGGTGCCTATAGAGAAACACATGCATTTGAGAGTCAGCCATTCCAATTCCCCAAAGTTTGCTTCCCTCAGAAAAGGGTTCACCCTCTTGTCCCTGCATTCCTACTCATTCCTAGCTACCTAGGAACTTTACCCAAGCCCCAGGCTCTATATAATGCCACCAGCAGTGCAGCTGGCTGACCCCTTAACTAACATGCTGATGAAATCAGAAGATTTCTGACTAAGCTCAGAGATGTGGGACCCCTTTCTTCCTGAAGAGCTGTGGGGACTGGGCTGAAAATGGGAGAGAGAGAAGGAAAAAGAGAGATATCACTAATTCCTAAGAGATGTTGGGAGTGTATGTGTGGAAATCAGGGTGTAATTATGTTAATCAGGTTTTGCAGAGTTTACCTCTCTCACTGCCTGATTTTTCTGGGAATCATAAGTGGACAACATCAAGGTGCTTGTCATTTTCATCCTAATAAAACCTGCTACTGAATATTTAAAATAAAAATCTGGTTCCTTTCCCAAATTAATACACTTCACTGCAGTGTGTGCTTATTGCTGAAAGATTTCTACCAAAAGACTAAGCAGTAGACAGTAAGTAAAATTTTGTTTGCATTTAAGAGTGTAATAGCCAATTTCATTCTGGTCACAGAGAGGACCTAGTTACCATTTAAAAATCTCTAATTTTGAAAAATACTTTTTACAAAATCAGCCAATTCGGGATAATCTATGTGAAAGGATCTTGTTTTGAAGTTAAGAGCTGAACTGTGAATGCTTATCACCAAAAACGGCAAATCAAACCAAAAGGTTTAATTTTCAAAAGTCTTTCTATTTAGTTTTCCCTTACTGAATACAAGAATTAATACTTTTTTTTTTTTAAGAAAGTTCAAGGGGAGGGGGAAGAAAGTATAACTCTGGCCATCTCTGGAAGTTCAGGTCTATCCCATGGTAGAAGATTAAACATTTTTAGCACAGTGCCAGGTTTCTCAGTAGGAAATGTACTTCAGATTAAAGGGCATTATTAAGCCTTAATTAGGTATGAAATGAATTAAAGAAACAAATCCTTTCTTTTAGAACCACTTATCAGCCTTTTGTAGAATTTGTCATTAATTCCCATGAATGTGCTGATAGCAGTCAGTGGTTATAAACATGCCTTTTCTTATTATCTCCTTTAAAATTAGGAAGGAACATGCTGGTAGGGGACATTTATTATATTCCTAACAAATTTCTGGGTTTTGTTATTGCCATTTTCCTCCCCTCTGGATGTTATTTGGGATCACAGAATTATGCAAAATGCCTATTTGTTTACAAAAAGCTCTAAAAACTATTAAGATCAAAAGATCTTAGTCCAGAGGAGGCAAGCAATGTGTTCTTTGATTCTACACACTGATAAATCAAGAACTAAAACTTTAAGTATCAAGATGGAGAATGTAAAGCTGTAAATATAAAAATGAGATTGGTTCTAAAGATCTCTCAGAAGAATACACTTACAGCCTTATCATTTCTTGGTAGGGGTGTGTGTGTGTGTGTGTGTGTGTGTGTGTGTGTGTGGTTGTTTTTGTTGGTTTGTTTTTTGGGTTTGGGCTTTTGGGGTTTTGTGGGGTTTTTTTGTCTGTTGCAATGTTCATAAGAAAGCATTGCTTTATTAATAATTTTTACATTTATTAGACTGCAATTTTATTTGAGACTAGAGTTAATGTTTTGATTAAGCTAAATATATATAAATATAATAATGTTCCTATATATTTGGTTTTTTGTAGACCAGATCCAGCTTTCCTGAAACAAGAGAATTTGCTTTACTAAGGATTCCACAGCTATACATTTTGAACCCTAGAAAGAAGTTAGTAAATTTTTTTTTCATGGCCAGCAAAACTGAGTCTTTTCTGAGGTGGCTAGCCGTTACTGTTACCCAAAGCTGCTCCACCCCAACATCTGAGTGTCCTTTTGGTGGTACCTGATCTTGCAAAGACAGCGTGGAGAAAGCTGGCACACTCTTGGCCCACTTGATGCTCATAAAGAGAAGCCTGGCCGCTGATTCACACACAGACTCTGTGGCCACCTCATAGAGATACATTGGAGTCCCGTTCACTTCATGGGGATACTGGGAAGAGGAGGAGGGGGAAAGATATCCAGAAGTGAAGAAACCTCTTTGCCAGAAAAGCTAGACTTCATATTTTCTAATCAGAACAAAGAAGGAAATAAAAAGAAATTTTGATGTTCTGTTTAAATATGAAATCGCCATAGGTTAGTGAAAACCCAAACATCTCTACCTATATAGCTTGAGAAGGAACTATGTTTGGGAGCAGACTGTTCTCACTCTTTGGGGGTCTGTTCCTTCAAGAGGGTGTCTGGGTTTCCTATCCCCTGCTGCAAATTCCCTCGGGCTGTGCCAAGTGCCAGGCCTGGCTCCCAATTTAGATAAGAGCTGCTTGTATTTGTGTAAATAAAAATAGATGTGAAAAAAAGTATAAATTAATAGGCATCCCAAACACAAATATGCATATGAGTATTTTTAGAAAGGATTAGTATATTATGGAAATATTTCAATTAGACATCTTAATCATTCACAGAGCATTCCCATTCATAACTGACAACATATTCATAACACTACTTTCTCGAGCTTATTATACACATCAAGGGTAAGAAAGCAATATTAAACATTGTGCGTGTGCATGTGCCCAGGTGTTTGGCATCCCTGCAGTGTGGGGCTGCAGCTGGCCCTCTTCTGGGGGAGATCCTAGGTCTCCCCCAGAGGAGAGGAGGAGGCTAGCAGGAGGTTGGAGAGCTGTGGCAGACACTAACCCTGACACTAGAGGTTCCATCCTGGTGTCAATCCAAGTGGCTCAGGAGTGAGAGAAGGCCAAGTGGAAATCAAAACAAGTCCTTTAAACTATCCTAACAGTGTGAGCTCCTTATTTTCCTTGTACACTGGGGACCCACAGCTTTGTCTCAGATCCTGCCAGCAGTGGTCAGCTCTTTCCTTCTAAAACAAACAGTCTGTCTTTTTGGCAGTACCCTAGTCACCCAAGGACATTTTTAAAAGTCCTAGGCCCCACCTCAAACTTGCTGAAACAGAATCTCTGAAGGGTCGACTTGGAAGTCCACATGGGTAGCCTTCTCATGAGCAACTCACCTGCACAGGACAAGCGCTCCATCCCGGGGGATGCCTAGCGCGCCCTGCCGAGCCCCAGAGCACTTGGCAAGGCACCCTATCCCCGCCGTGCAAGTGGGCAAGGCCCCCTGCTTCTCGTGAGGGTCCTCGGACCCAGCAGGGCCACTGACCTTGGGCGTGGGCTGAGCCAGGCTCACTAGGGTCTGCCGCTCGGGAGTGGTGGACACCGCGGCCAGCTCCAGGCCGTGCGGCTCCAGCTGTGTGACCGCAGTGAAGAAGGCGGGGGCCGGCAGCGCCGCTGAGGGGAAGTGCGCCGCCGCGCCGTTCTCCTCCTTGTGGCCGCGGAAGTAGAGGGCCACTTGCTTGCGGATGGTGGACGTCCGAGGCCCTCGCTCGTGCTGCACAGCTGCGAAGACGGACACACACTTAGGATCAGACACACCGCGGCAGATGCGGTCATGAAGCGATGGACGGAGACGCCCAGAGATGCTGGGAAATGGTGTGACTGCTACATAGACGGAGACTGAGAGAAGCCCCTGTCCAACGTCCCATAGCTGGCCTCAAACTATGCCTCCTTCCCCATCCAGAAGAAACCACAGATTCCCAAATTGAAGTAGCTCAACCCTGTCTCCATCTAAGGGGTGAATAAGGTGTGCATACAGTCTCTGCAAGGACTGTTCAGCTCCATCCAAGGAGCATCCAGCCTGCTGATCCCTAATCCCCCCCCCCCCCCCCCCCCCCCGCCCCGTGGAAAAGGACAGGGGACTCTGGGAAAGGGGCTGAGGAAAAGCCTGTCTCTACAGACAGATTCTTCCTCATGCACTAAAGTCAGGCAGGGGAAATGTGACAATTACACCAACAGTTTAAACAAACAAATTAATTCAGGGCAATCTTCCCCTCGCTGAGCCTGACAACTTGTCAATACACAAGTTCAACAGGTGGGAGGACCCATCTTGCCTCCTTCGAGCGGAGGAATGCGCTGCCTGCATTGACACTGTGCTTGGTTAATCTTACCTGTCTGGCTGTAAACGCCATCTGCACTTAGTTGAAATGGATGACCAACCCTGGTGCTCCCTCCACCCTGCCCTGCCCTGCTCTGCAGAGCCTTCCCTAGGCAACGTCATTTCCTGCTTTTTGCTGAGAGCCTTTGTTTAGGGACCCTTTGGAGCCCAATGGCTAAGTCACTCATATATATCACCCTCCCTCTCTAGCTCCTTTTTCCTTCTTTTTGTAACTTCAAAAGGAGGCCCTGAAAAAGCTCTCTATGGCTCATCAAAGTGCAGATTTTGGCACTGTGGTGAATTTGCCAACAAGGGCTTGAAATTCTGTTCTGACATCTATTTCCTTCCTCAAAACACTAGCTTTTAACCCCTGAAATTCTCTTCTGAGGAGACTGTTCAGACTCTAAGATCATGGGGGCAATCTAATGAACTTAAGGGTAGCCACCAAGACTACCAAGAAGAGGGGCTAAGACACGAAGCCTTAACACAGCCTACTTTCCCCACATGTGTGCAGCCCTGGAGAGCTGCCTTTGGTGGGATGACTGAGATTGCGTTGGGCCCTTACTGTTGGTAGTTCAAGGTGGTCTGGAGTGGGGGTTAATGCAGGGAGAGGAAGGATATCAAAGGCAGCTCCAACTCCCAGCATCTGGAAAGTGCTCCAGAGATCATTTACATGCACAAGAGTGCAGTGCATTTTCTCTATATATAATTTACTTACTACTCAATCAACATTATTAGAATAAAGGAATGTACTGATTACCATCTTTGTTCATGTTGACCTCCAAACACTTCTTCAGCCGACATGCCCTGCACTGGTTTCTGTGCGTCTTATCCACTGGGCAGCCTCCCTGGAACAGAGCGCAGATGATCAGAGGCCCCCAGGGCCTTTGGACTGGGGGCTAACTCTATGTGGGGTCTGTGCAGTGCACCTGAGACTGCTCATCGTGATGGCCTTGAGAGCAGCCTAGCCAGTTTGGGAAGGAGCTGAGATTCATGGGACTACTTCCAAAGAGCTATCTCCCAGACTTATAAAACAGCATCAGACCCAACTGAGCTGGAGGAAGGTTGAAAGGAGACCATCAGCCAGTCAGTCACAGAGGTGTTGGGGCTGAGACCAGATCTTTCAGGACCGAAGACAGCGACTGCCTCTGAGCTGGGCTGAGAGCCTGTCAGGACAGGTTCCCACCACCACTCCCCAACCCACTCCTCACCCCCACCCTCGGGCACCTACCCCTAGCTGTTTTTTGGATTTTAGGTTGGGTGTCTTTTCCTGTCGCTTTCCAGGAGTCTTTCTGTTTGCTTTGCACTCCCTTATTCCCTCAAGCTTTAGCACTTGAAACCACTGTCATTGATTTGGTTCAGACTCAGAGTGACCCTGTACTGATTCCAAGGCTGTAATGGGAGAGTACTGCCCACCTTTCTCTTGAAAAGTAGTTGATGGTTTCAAACTGCAGACCTTTGAGTTAGCAGCGCAACACATAATGCTTTAGACCACCACAGGTCTTTGAAGCCACCCTTATATCCTTATATCCAGCATATTGAGGGCTGTCTTACTAGCCTCCAGCTCAGATTCATGGGGGAAACAACCATTCCCAGAAAGTGAAATAGGTCAGTGTAGTTGCTGGGTCAGGTCCACAGAAGGAAGGAGTAGGAAGAGAAGAATTGGAGGCCTGTACCAGGAAAAGAATGCACAGGCTGTCTGATGAAATGTCACAGAGAATACATCACATCTGAGCACCACGACAGAAAAGAGAAACCACAGTGTGAGGGGCAGGAAAAGTGTCTTATGTAACTCAGTTCTGCGAGGGAATAGTGACTATTCAAAGAGGAACTGTATAGAAGATGTTTCTTGGGGAATTTAATGTTAGGTGTCATTATTCAGGGAACCTACAATTTAAAAAAAAAAAGTCATACTTGTATGTGGATCTTTGTACACAAATGTTTACAAAGTTTGGTGCTATTCTGTCTGTGTTTATATAAGTTGCTACAGATTACATCTGAGGTAGGACGGAAGATATTAGAAAATTTTATTTTTCTTTTTCACAAGCTGAAGAATTACCATACACTAAAGTTGGCAGTATGGAGGCTTTCTTTTTTTGAAATATTCCTTATGGAGGAAATGACACATTAGAATGCAGTTGTTTGGGGGGGTTTCCAAATAATGCTCCTACAATTTAAAGATGTTGTCCTTTTAACAACAACAACAAAAAGGCAGGGCAAAGAGTAATAACGAAATGTATAAATGGCTTAATTACGACTCATATTAAAATATTATTTACCTAATTTTAGAATAAAAAGAAAGGAAATAATTTTCAGTCTGTAAGTTAACTCTTCAGAACTTCGACACTAGCCAGCGCAGAAGCTCAACATTAAGAGGTTTAAAGAATTTATTAAATATAATCATCTTTCTCTTCCAAAATGGTATCCTTCCTGTATTTTGATAAACATAATAATGTAAAAAGGAAGCCTTTGTTAATTCCAAAGTGTGTCTTCAAACAAGGTCAAATGTATATTAAATATTTGAAACCCAAGAGAAGGGTGGATACCTCTGGTGCATTTATTCTCTTTGAAAGGAATGGAATACCAAGTCTGATAAGTCTATTATCCCTTCTTTATAAAAACTTGGATTGCACTCAATACGTGGAATGATAGCCATTTCCTTTTATCAAGCGTGACATCTGAGATTTCAAGTCCTCAAGTTTGTGCATTGCATACATGCTGAAGACTCAATAAAAAAATAATTTGAGTGACAGTCTGCTCAGAGGTGATGACCCATAGTAATGCCACATTCCTGTGGAGCGATTGGGTAGTCCTGTGCGTATGTAATGCGATGTGTCCATATGGCAGAGCTGGACACCAATACAGAACTGTGTACCCAATTAAACAGGTGGAGAGCTGGAAAGTTCAAATTAACTTGTTCAAATGCAAATGTCTTCTTGTTTTTGTTGTTCATCCAAGTCTATCAGAGACTGATATGAACAGATAAGGCTTCAGAAAAAGATATCAGAATAATTTGCCACTCTCTCTCTCCCTCTGTGTGTGTGTGTGTGTGTGAGAGAGAGAGAGAGAGAGAGAGAGAGAGAGAGAGAGAGATTAATAATTACTGAGAAATGTTTCACCATTTGATTCTCAAAAGAGGATTTCTCACTAATGCACTCCTGGAATCAGGATCTTCTTGGAAGTAGAGAGACCTCTATGTCCATGGCTAAGAGAAGGCCAAAGTGTGAGACCTAAATGCTCATTCCCTAGATTGGACTTAGCCTACCATTACTGAACTAGAAACTGAGTCCTGTGCTTCTATTTGCTCTTTCTAGAGACCTTGGCTCACATTCAACCTATGCCCTGAGCCTCCATCACTTTGAAGCTTGCTCAAGACCAAGAGAAATCAGGACCATCTATCTTCTAGACAGAGCAGGAAGGAAGAGACAGGAAGGCTGGGGAGAACTCCAGCTGTGCCTTCCCTGGGCACCTGCCCCTCCCCACAAAGCCCAGGGAAGGCTCATTGGAGTTGAAGCCTCAGGGCCTATTTCTACAGAAGTGCTGTTTCTCCAAGAGTTGACACTGCACTGTCCCTCCCAGGACTCGCCTCTCTGTTCCAGGTGGCCCACCTTCCCAGTGGGGCTCGGATAAAAAGCAGCACCTTCCCCAGATGCCCCTGACTTCTGCCTTCCCAGAAGCTGGTCAGAGCTCTGGGCTTGGGTGCTGCCAGGAAAAAGGGTGGGTAGGCAACACGGGATAGTAGCCCCTTCTCCTGCTGCTTTTTGTGGTCAGAGCCAGTTAGGACCAGTGGACAGGCCAGCTCCATAAGCATTGGATATGGGCCTCATTTAGTGTCAGAATCTGTCAGAGAATTTAAAAAGAAGGGATGGGGGGTGCTGGGACTTCAGCCTTCCTCCTGCAAACGGATTTTCTTTCCCTCTCCCCGCCTTTGCCAAGCAAAAGGGCCCTGAGGGTAGAGACGGGAAGGAGAAGGGCGAGGTTCTCCGCAGCGTGGAAACGTCGAGCTCCCTGGACACAAGGCGGGGGAGCTCGGCGAAGGTACCTGGTTTCCAGATTTGCAGACGTAGGTCCGATTCCTTCGGATACTCCGTTTGAAAAACCCAGAACAGCCGTCGCAGGCGTAGACTCCGTAGTGCTTGCCGGAGCTGCGGTCCCCGCACACTTTACAGGGGATGTCCAAGATACGGCCTGAAATTGCAGGAAAGGGGGGGGGGGAACACCAACCGGGGGGAAGGGGAGCGAGGGAGAGAAGGCGGAGGCGAGGGAGGAGAGGGGAGAGGGAGAGCGATGCTAAGCAATCTGACCTCTGAAGGGATTAGCACCGAGGCTGCGGTAAAAGCAAATAATGAAGTGATTTTATAGCCAAACTTTTTTTCCTTGAGCAAGTGTCAGTTTCCTACAATGAGCATTATTCATGCACCGCTACATGTATTTGGGTCTCCTCTAATCGCCGAGACCCATTTCGGAATAAAAGATTACAGCAGGCCCGGGCGGCAGCGCGGCCCGCCGCCGCCTTTCTGCTGGGCGCAAAGTTTGGCCGCCTCCCTCCCCCGCTCTCGCATTTAACAGAGAAAGTTGTTAGCCCGCGAGGAGACAAACTTGAAATGTAAAAGGGAAAAGAAGAAAAACAAACACGGCTGGAACCGGGGATGGCAGCTGGAAGGCAATCGAGTTTTCTCTGAGCTCCTCCGGGCGCTTGTTATTATTGGGATTATTATTGTGATGCTAATACCCGGATTATTAATGATAATAAGGGTAGTGGTAATTGCCCAACTTTCGCTTTACCTATTTAAGAAATGCTGTTGCTGAGAAATTATTTCTCTTGGAGGGGAAAAAAAAAAATTCCAGAGCACCTAGGACCAGGACAAACACAAGAGAATCAAGCGGTGCCAGTACGCCCATTACAGTGGGCCACGACCCCTCTCTCTCCACGCCCCACGTTTGCCGTCCACTAAACCTGCTCCCTAACTGGGTCCTGGTTTGACTGGAAAAATTGGCCGGTCCACTTCTTTCCCCATCTTCCTCCTTCGTGGCTTGAAGGCTGATTTTTCTTTTCTTTTTTGTGACTCTGCCTGGTGGCTACAGGCTGAATGTCCCCTTTCGTCTTACAGTCTCCCGCTCAAGAGAACTTTCCCTGGAACCCCCTGAAGCTCACCAGCCTAGGGTGGCCCCGGAACCTAGAGGGGGTAAGATGTGGACAGTCAGAAGGGAGAGGATCCTTCTTCTCTAAGGCACAAGGGCCCAGCAAGTGCCTGGGGTGCGTTTATAAGGACATACAGGAAGCCTTCCTCTCACAAACAAAGGGGACATTAGAGAAAGTGTTAACTTAATGATTTCTTCTCCTATCGCATCGCCTCGCAGTGGTCTCCGGGCTGGGCCTGGCGGGCCGCCTTGGGCCTGGAAGAACCACACAGCAGCGGGCCAGAGCGGGCCTTGAGGACCGTGGAGAGAGGCCAAGGTGCGCACTGCTGGGCTAGTGCGTAGCGCGCGCGGAGGCCTGGGGACGCGGAGGTGGCAACTTGCTGGCGAGTCCCCGGGCCTGGACCGCGCGGCTCAGGTTGGGGGGAGGAGCGGGGGCGGGGAGGCGCGGGCGGCCTGGCAGGGTGGGGTGGGGGTCGGTAACGAACAGGCCCAGCCCTGGTAATTACAACCCTGCCGCAGCACCTGCCTATAGAGCCACCAGTGACCCGTCAAAAAGAGTAGCATGGGAATTCGGACGGCGACAAAGGCTGGCGGGGGAGGCGCGCGGCGCGGTGGCCACCGCCAGGGCGCCCCCTCTCCCTCAGGGAGGGAGAAGAGGTGGCGTGGGGTGGGGGGCGAGGTGGAAGGCTTCAGAGCGGGTCTGGTCCCCCACCTCCTCTCTCCTGTCACTGCGCAGGGGGAATCCGCAGCCCACTGGGGGGACTGGGGGCCAGTTCAGCTGCCCTGCGCTGCAAGCATGCTTCCACAATTTGCTATGACATACACTCTGTGGCCTTGCTGGTTCCAACCAATTCTGGAGCCCTAGAACTGTCTGTCCTCTGTGACTTTTGATGAAGCCAAAATGAGCAGAGAGAGACTCTGGGAGGGATGGGGTTGATTCACGCCTCCCGCCCGCCGCCCCTTCTCATTAGGGCGGGAGGGAAGGGGCCAAGGATGCCTCTGAATGACCCCAGTGCGGGTGGAAAGCCAACAGTGAGGGGTGGGGGCCCTCGAATGACTCCCCAGGCCCGGTTCCTCTCGACAATCGGTGCCCCTTCAAGCCCCCAGCCCTGCTGCGGCTGCTGATGCTCCCATCTTCTGCCTGGACCTCAGACCTCGCCCCCCGCCCCCCGCAGATTAGAAACAGGCCACCAGGCCAAGACGCAGACGAAACAGCCGGGTCCTGAGCGGATCTCTGCCTCAGACTCTGCCACCCAGCCACCTTAAGTTGACTTGGGGTCACGAGACGAGTTAATTGACCCCATTGCAAAGGTCTCTTCATTTAGCAAGCCCAGCGAGCCCCCGACGTGAGCTGAGCAGGAGCTTCCTGAGATTGGAAAACCGTTCTTAACTTCCCGCCCCAGGGGGTCTCCGGGGGGCTTTTTGTGTGTCATAATTGCCTAAAGATATATGGCAGCTTCGATTACTGTAATTACCATCAGAGACTGTTGAAAGAAGTTAGTCCTGGCTGCTGGGGTGACTGCCCCGGGTCTTGTTACCACCCAGGCGAGGCTCCCGGATGACATGGCTCCACTCATCAGCCTGGCCAAGCCGAGCGGAGCGGGGGCGCAGTCCTCGCCCCTGCCCGGCCCGACCCTCCCGCGGTCGCTCACCTCTCCTCCCGGCCCAGCTGGGTGGTTTACGACCACGGGTCTGAGAGGGCCTGGGGGCAGCGGGATGCAAGTGGGGCCGGAGGCTTTGCAGCCTTAGACATCTCAGCAGGCCTCTGAAGGATCGGCAGGAGGCGGCTCTTGAGAGTTGGAAAGCTCCAAAGTTTCCCCAACATACCCACTGTGTCTTTCCCCCAAGTCCTGTGGCCCACGACCCAGTGGGTGCGACCCACGGTGAATCCAGCTTCACGCCTGCCCCTTCCCTCGCCACCTCTGCACACCCCAAGTGGACTAAGGAACCAGAGACTCCTCACTTCCAGGGGAGACAGACGGCAAGGACCTGCCCCAGTCGGAGCACACAGGAGGCCTGCCGAGGCCCGCAGGCGTCAGTTTCTGTAAACAAGGCTCAGAATGCAACGGGAAAGGCTTCCTTCTGAGCCTCCTAGAAGGGATATTCACGCCTGGTAACGCGACCAACAAAAAAGGGAGCTCCCCTGGCTTCCCAGAGCTTCGCTCCGTGAGGGCCGGGTAGGCCCAAGGCTAACGGGAACCCAGTGTCCGCCGTGCATTTGGGCCTCGGTTAGCCGTCTCTTCTTTCCTCCTTCTGCAAGTAGCCATATATGCGACTCTCTCTTTTTGTTCGTATTCTTTTAGGCCCTTGTCTTTACAGTGGCAGCACCCAAATGGAAACAAACTATGTGGAGGCACGACCAACTTCTTTGCGGGGAGAACTGCATCTCCCTTATGTGGGATCTCCACTCAGTCTTCAAAAATATCTCAGACTTTCGAAGACGCAGGACAATGAGGGCAAGTGGAGGGATTGGAGAGCACACAGCGCCTAGAACGGTGGGAGAACTCCGGGCAGGGCAGGGGGCGGCGGCGGCGGCGACGCATCCCCCAGCGCACCGGAGGTCCACACCCGGAATGGCGGGAACCGAAGTGGCCGGAGCCGGGAGAAGGCAAAGGCCCTCCCTCTGCACACCTGAGGTCCAGCACTCGAGTTTCGGGGTTAGGGAGCGCAGATGTCCGCCCAGGCTGGTGGCTGGTGTTCCCGGGACAACTACAAGCTAAGGAAGTTTGAAGAGGAGGGAAGCGCGCGAAGAGTATAGGCCGTGCACTCCCGCCTCTGCGAGCTCCCGCTCGAAAAGTATTTGGGATTAGGGATTTGGTCCACTCTTTGCTAGAGCTGCTCGCCATACTTTAAATTCCCCAGTTATGACCTCCGCGGGTTTAGGATTAAAGAAAATGTGACTTTTAAATTGTTTCTACTTCCCAGTTTGCAGGATTATTTGAAATAGCTAGAAACGGGGTGCAAAGCATTCCATTCGAAATCCGCTTTGCGCCGACTTGCTTTTGCGCCCTGGAGCTTGGAGCCGTGAGCGAGTGCGAGGCTGGACCGCCCCAGGGCCCCACAGCCCCCTTCCCGTCCCCGCCGCACCCCCACCCTGCAGCCGGAGAACAAGTGGGGGCAACTTGCCGGACTGATGGCCTGCGTGGGGTCAACCTTACTATTACCACCAGGGAAGGGGGGTGGGGGTGGAATGAAGCAATTCAGAGACAACGAAATTGCTCTCCCCTCCCCGTGCAACGCTCGGATTTACGGAGTGCGCGGAGCGGCGTCAGAGCGCACGGCCGGGCAGCGCTCACACCCCGGGGTCGGGACCTGAGCGCGCGGGGCTGGTACTCCTGGACCTCCCCTCCCGCCCGCACCGGCTGCGCGCCCGGCCCCGCGGCAGCCCCAAAGGTACCCACTTGTTGATCCGGCCGGCTTGCTCATGCTGGCGGTCCCCGGGCGCAGCTGCTGGTGGGCGCTGCCCGCGTCCCGGCTGCCGGCGCCTGCCTCGCCAGCCGGCGCCGCCACCCTCCACGCGCCCTCCAGCCTGCGAGTCTTCCGGGCCGGACAGGTGGGAGTGGGTGGCGCACGGCGCTGCTCCCTGGCGCTTAGAAGTCGGTCCGCGGTGCAAACGTTAGCATCCTTGAGTTCCTTCCCGGCTCTTGCAAAACTGCTGCTGCTGAGAATGTTGGTATGGACACACGCATGGACAGACAGATGTGAAGACGGACAGGCTGACTGAGGGAGAAGGGAAGAGGGGAGTTGAAGGACAGAGATGGAGACACGAAAATCTTCCTAGGGAGTGAAAAGGGCAGAATTTCTCCCCATTCCGCTCAGTGTCGGGTCGCTCCGCTCACTGGCGTGCGGAGGGCGGCCAGTTCTCTGCAGCCCGCCAGCCTCGCGGGGAAAAAAGGAAGCCCCCGGACCGCGGATTCAGGCTGCAGGGCTCAGCGCTGCCCGGAGCCGGGGCCCCGAGCAGGGCAGCTAGATGGCCGAGAAGTCTTCCAAGAGAAGAAGCGGCGAGGTCCTGGCTTCCGGGGAGAACCGCACACGCCGCGGCCAAGGGCTCCCGAAGTTCATTACCCTGTGACTTTGTGCCTGTCTCCGCAGGCTGAATCCTCGGTAATATCTCCAGAAGCGCTCTGACAGGCAGCCGCGGGGAGGGGAATAGGGCGTCCCTGGCCCACTTAGCTTTTCCCCCAACTCCTGGCGGGGCCTGACGTCAGCCATGTGCGGAGAGGGGGTGGGAAGAGGGAGGGGGTTAAATGCTAATGATATTAATGAACCTCCAAGCGGCTCCCAAAGAAAATGCAGGCGCTCTCCAAGCTGAGGACTTCGGGAGCGCGAATGAGGGAGTGCGGCTCTGGGCGCGCGTGATGGTGAGGACCCTGCCTCTCTTGTAAGAAAAAGAAATTCTTTCTCGGCAAGAGGGAAAGGGAGGGGAGAGTGGGCTGTTCTCAAAATTATTTCCCCCTTCCCTCCAGACAGCCAGTCAGAGATTTGGTCGAATAAGCTGGGTGGCTGTGAGTCTGTGTGTGATTGAACGCGCCGGACATGGCCATGTGAGTTGATTCATTGTTGCTCCCGCGCCCCTTCTGTGGGGTAATACTTGGATCTGGCTTGAGGTGAGTAGTGATCCATTTTGAGACTACCAGTGGAAAGTTATAATGAGGGATTGGGGGCCTGGGATGGGGGCTCCCGGAAGCGGGCATTCCTGCGGCCTTGACGCGGTGGGGGTCTGTTTGGGCTTCAGCCTCGGGGAGGAGGCTGTTTGCATCTCAAAGCAGGGCTGGCCCCTGGGGAGCCAGACGGAGCTGCGGTGGCCTCCGTAATCAGCTCGCAGTGGCCGGAGGGCAGTGGCCTCTCCCAGGCTGAGGAGTCTGGAGAGCACCCTCCAGAGCCCCCTCACGCCTGCCTTCCGGCGGTCCCTGAAGCTCTCCACGCCGGGGGCCCTGTGCCATGCTGGGAGAGCGCACGCCAGCGAACGGAGATCCCCTTCTCCAGGAGATTAATTCTTCTTGAAGCTCTCCCGGCCGCTTGAACTTGTCCAACAAGGGCTTGGCAGCCTCTCCCCAGGGCGTGGGCCGGCCAGCGGTCAGGGGTCACACCTCGGCTCCGCCGCCTTCCCGGGCACCCCGCAACACTGTATGCCCACCTCCTCCTAGCCTCGTTATTTCTCCGCAACACCTCGGCTGTGAGTGTGCGTGTGTGCAAGCGAGGGCTTACGTTCCCCAGGCCCTCGGAGCACTAAGCAGCGGGCGTCCAGGGCGGCCGGAGTGCGCCTGTCCCCGTAACACGTGACCGCAACTTTGTGGGGGACTCACAGCCAAGCCCTGTGCGCCCCCGGCGCCTTCTTCCTGGCAGTGGGGAAAGAGACGCTGGGTAAACCAAGAAGGGGGCGGGCTGGCTCCCAAGTTACCTCCCGCCCCACTTCCCAGGTTCTTCCACATTGGGATGCGTTTAAGAAATGATGAGACAAAGCCCTAAACCTGAGGGAGTTTGTTTTGTTTTGTTTTAGGTGACGGGATGAGAAATCATTTTTGGCGGCCCAGAAAGGCAGACGCATGCTCAGTGAGCTGGGCCCTCGCAGTAGCACAAACTCGAACTCTGGGCCTAGAAAAAGAACGAATTTCTGGGTGGTGTTCGAGAAACACACTTAAAACGCCAGGACCCGTTCGGGACCCTAGAGTTCTGGAACTTCTTTCTTCCTTCTCTTCCTCCTGCCACCATATCATGGAAGATGGGGACAGCAAGGAGAGCGCTTGATTAAGCACAAGGAATTTCAAGAGTTAAGCAATTTCCCTTTGCCAGAATCAGGGAGCAGAGATAGACTTGTCTCGGGGGAAGAGTTTAAGGGGTCTGTGGTGAGACGCAGGCTTGAAGGTAGGAGAACTACCGCTCCTAACTATTCTGTTCCCAACTCCCCAACCGCCTCACCCTACTTGTTCATTTGTAGACACTAAAACTTAGGGGAAATTCTCGTAAGAGTCAACAAATTGCCTCAAAATAAAAATGGCAATATCCTTTGTTTCTCTTGTTCCCACCTCCTAATCAAGAAATAAGAAATCAGAAGTCCACTACACACACACACACACACACACACACACACACACACACGTGCGCTCTCCTCTCATCCTGCTCTGGCAAAAGGCACAACATGTGCACGCACACAGCACACAGACACGCAGCGTGTGAGTCCTGCGTTCTGCATGCCGGCTGTAATTATCCTGGCGCTTTGCATAAATCACAATGCAGTTCTGAAATCATCATGATGACTTTCTGGCATGATTGGTTCTGTGGCAACAGCAGCGACAGGCCTATAGGCAGGAGGCTGGGCGCCTACCAGCTTCTGCCCACTTACAGCAGTTACAGGTCACAGGGCTCTCAGACTTGGAGCTTTTGAGAAAGTATCTGCTGGGGCAGGAATGGTGAATTTCCATATTTTGAGCTTGTTGCCAGAAGGGACCAGTACTTGGAGGACTTCTTGCTTGGAAGGGTGGCGGGACAACGCAGGAAAGGAAGACCCTGGCATATATGGAGTGACTGGAGTATAATGTAATGGGGGTAGGTGTGTCGGAGACTATGAGATTTCCTCAGAATGGGACATGGTTCAAAGCTATTGTGCATATGGTAACTATGAGTCACAGAAGACATAAGAACAACAACCAAATAGACCCCAGTGGGCTGCCTGGCTCACAGTAGCTGCTAAATAAATGCTGGCTAAATGAATGAACATCAAAAGCAACCTTCAGATATTTTGAGAGACACAGCTAACCATTGAAGAGGCAGAAAGTGAGCCTTGCTCATGTAATTCAAGTTCTACCACCCAACTATTATGTCATCTTAGGCAAGTGTCTACACTTCCGAGGCTCTGAATTGTTATCTATAAAATGATGACAATCCTTTTCAAAATCAGCTTTCAGAGATTTCTTTTTTTGTGGTTCTATTAAGGAGGATGATTGATCAAGAGCTAATACTTATCTGCCTCAGAAACACCTTTTAAGAGATACATGACTTTAAGCTACAAGGGTAAGTTCTGACTAGTAGGGGAAGAGACAGAGGAGGGTAAATCACAAACCTAGAGGTCTGGCCAGATCTAAACGTATCTTCTAACATTCTCTCTAGCTTCACTACGAGAGTATTGAGCTCTTAACCAAAGCCAAAAGCAAAGTGAAGGTTTCATTTTGATCTAGGAGATAAGAAATAATACCATGAGGCAGAGTATAGGATCAAGAAGCCTCTCTGTCAACCCATCAATACAGCCACCCATGACATAATAACACCTACAACGTGCTGGACTCCGGGTGTTCAGGACATTAATGAAATAGCCCCTATATCAAATCTATAGGTGATAAGCTCTGTGGTTAGGGTTGCTAGGAATACAGAAACAATATATTATTGTTCTTAGGTGCCATCCAGTCAACTCTGACTAATATGAATGATGGATCTGAACCTTGTGCTATCCTGTGCCATCCTCAAGATCTCTGATATGCTGAAGCCCATTGTTATGGTTACTGTGTCAATACTGTTGTTATGTGCTGTGGAGTTGCCTGTGACTCATAGTGATCCTATGTACAATAGCTCTGAACCCTGGGCTATCCTGAGCCAATCTTACTGTCTCGGACACACATAACCTCATGACCCCAGTAACTGAGTAAATCTATCTCATCTGAGGTCTTCCTCTCTGGCAACATGCCCAAAGTATGTTGAGATGGAGCTTCAAACTCTTTGCCTCCAAGGGATGGCTTGGTTTCACCCTCTCCAGGACAGACCTGTTTGTTCTCTTGGCAGTCTATAGTGTATTCAGTACTCATCTCCTGCACCATAACTTGAAGGCATCTATTATGTGTTGGCTTGAAAGTTGACTTGGTGTTGGAGGCGTCTATTACCTCTGAGAATGGTCTGCTACTATAGCTTACTCTCCTGCTAATGCTCCTTCCTATAAGTTTAAGAAGGAAAATAGAATCCTATAGTTAGGTTGCATGAAGAAGATAGCAGCAGTTCAAGACATCTTATCAGCATTAGACTATCTGGGTTTGAACCTAGCTCAAACTTTACAACTGTTTTTAAAGGTTGTGCCATTTTTCTCAATTAACCTCAATTCTTGTAAATCAAAATACCTCTCCCTCAGCAAGCAGAGTTGAAGTTTTTATAGAAAAGAGATAGGGAGCTCTGGTGGCCTAGTGGCAAGAAGCTGCAACTACAATCCCAGGGGTGCACGGTTCGAATCCACCAGATGCTCTGCCGGGGAAGGAGGGGCAATCTCCTCCTGTACCAGTCAGATCTGATTTGACGGTACACGCACACAAAAATAATAATAAAAAAATATAAAAAAAGAAAAGAGATAGACCCCTCTATAAACAGGTGATCAATCTCCTGTAGAGGTAATTTTCCCTTTAGAGGTTCATTCCTTTGAAACAACCTTCACTGCATTGATGTGCACAGTGTGAGAATTATGAGGGTTGGGGAAAAGGAGTCAAGTAAGACTGAGGTTTGATGTGCAGTCTACTAAACACAGACACAAGTGTTGTTCATTTACACGAGAGGTTAAGTTGGGTTTCATTTTCTTTCAAGTCATAGTCCAACCAAATATCTAGAACACAGACGCCGTCCAGTAAGGGTTTGCTAAGTGACAGGACAGGGATGGGGGTGAGTGTGAAAGTGTTGTCTGGCTTG